TATTGTTGATAATCTTCCTTTTAAATTATAACTCACTCAGTGATAAACCACTTTGGTATGTATTAAGCTAAATGTAGAGCTACATGAATGCTAACTGCTCCATTTTAGTCCAGATGTTGAGGCAATTACTTGGAAACTGTTTCTTGTGCTCCGTCCCCTAAAAAAACTTGATTGGAAAGGGCAAGTGAATTACTAAGACACTTTAAAAACACTTCACGCATTTATCATTCTGCTTAGAAAAGTTTACACTAATTGTATAGCAAGGAAGTGGACATAAAATCATTAAAAATATATAAGCCTCCAAGGCAACATGGCCTCATTTGATAGCTGGGGAGGGACTTTACATATCTTCCCATATTGTCTGGTGCGTGAATACACCACTACATTTGTTAGGCCCACCACATTCCAGGGAGAACCAAGCAAGGAAAGCACTGGGAGGCTTCAAGCCACGTTGAAAAGTGCTGATATAAAGCAATTTCCCCAAATGAGTCTCTTAATGTTGGCAGTTAGTTTGGGGTCAGAGGTTAATGAGGCTCATGCAAATCTTTTCTTTTAGGCTCAGGAAGTCCTTTATTAGCTGAGTTAGTTTGTAGATTGTTGGGTACAGGGGATATTCAACCATCTCTAACTTTGAAAAGTGCTGTTTGCACATTTTTCTGGTCTTAATACTTTCTCAATGAAGTTGATAGTTACAGTTTCAGTTTACTGATTCCCTTTATACAGTGCACTAAATGTTACAATTCCAGCTACCAATCTTAAGTATGTAAATACTGTATTTAAAAAAAAAATTAGGGTCTTGGTCACTCCTCTAAGCTTTCATAAATGGAGTTTCCCCAGTTGCTTAGCCCCACACGTTTAAAAAAAATATAGCCCTTAAAATCTACATAGATTCTATTATTAATTTTTATACTATGTTATATTATTATCTCTTGTGCCATGGCCATTAATGAGTCATATATATGTATTATTGAAGTGTCACTGATATACAATCTTATATTGGTTTCAATTATACAACACAATGGTTTAAGTTATCTATATTATAAAATCCTTACCCCAACTAGTGCAGTTACTGTCAACATAGGCAGACGTTACATAATCATTGGCTGTATTCTCTATGCTGTACCATCATCCTTTTGATCAACTTATATTGAGAATTATTGTGCCCCTTTATCCCCCTCACACTCCCCACCCTCCAACCCTAACCCCTCCCCTGTGGCAACCACCAGTCACTTCTCAGTGTCTACGAGTCTATTTCTGTTTTGTTCATTTTGTTTTGCTTTTTTATATTCTAGAAATAAGTGGAATCATATGGTATTTGTCTTTCTCTGCCTGGCTTATTTCTCTTAGCATAATACCTTCTAGTTCCATCCATGTTGGTGCAAATGGCAGGATATTTTTTGTATAGCTGAGTAACATTGCATTATGTGTGTGCACCACATCTTCTTTATCCATTTATCTAGTGATGTACACTTAGGTTGCTTCCGTAAGCTGGCTATAGTAAATAATGCAGCAATAAACATAGGGGTGCATATTTCTTTTGCAATCAGGGATTTTGTTTTCTTTGGGTAGATTCCTAAAGGTGGAATTACTGGGTCACATGGTATTTCTATTATTAGGTTTTTGAGGAAACTCCATACTGCTTTCCACAGCAGCTGCACCAATTCACATTTTCACCGATGTAAAACAATGTTCAGGAGGGTTCCCATTTCTCCACATTCTTCCTAACACTTGTTATTTCTTGTCTTTTGGATAGTGGCCATACTAACTGGTGTGTGGTTTTGATTTGCATTTCCCTGATGATTAGCAATGTGGAGCATCTTTTCATGTGCCTGTTGGCTATCTGTATTTCTTCTTTGGAGAAATGTCTGTTCAGGTCCTCTGCCCTTTTTTTAATCAGGTTATGTTTTTGGTGTTCAGTCATGAGTTCTTTATATATTTTGGATCTTAACCCCTTTTCAGATAAATCGTTTACAAATGTTCTCCCATACTGTAGGTTGCCTTTTTGTGCTGCTGATGTTCTTTGCTGCATAGTTTTTAGCTTGATATAATCCCACTTGTTCATTTTTTGTTTCCCTTGCCTGATATATGTCCATAAAAGAATTGCTCATATTTACGTTCAAGATTTTTGCCTATTTTTCTTCTAAGAGTTTTGTCTTCCATTCAGGTCTTTGATCCATTTTGAGTTTACTTTTGTGTGTGGAGTTAGACAGTAATCTAGTTTCATTCTCTTGCATATAGCTGTCCACTTTACCCAACATCAGTCATTTAAGACTGTTTTTCCCCATTATATATTCATGGGTCCTTTATCATATATTAATTGACTATGTATGTGTGGATTTATATCTAGGCTCTCTATTCCCTTCCATTGATCTATGGGTCTGTTTTGTGCTAGTACCAAACTATTTTGAATGCCAAAACTTTGTAGTATAGCTTGAAGTCAGGGAGCATAATACCCCAGCTTTGTTTTTCTTTCTCAGGATTGCTTTGGCTATTTTGAACTTTTGTGGTTCTGAGTTTAATGATTATTTGTTCTAGTTCATTGAAAAATGCTGTTAGTATTTTGCTTAATATGTATCTTTGAGATATTCTGCTATACAGAAAAATCTCAACACCTGGAGATTTTAGGTATACACTACAGTCCAGCAGCTTAAATGATTATTTCTAGTATGGCTTTCAGGAGCTAAACTATCCTGTTTTAATTTCTCCTGTAGAATGCTCTTAGCAGTACTGTCATACTTCCTCCACTTGATAGCAGGATTGGTGAGTCTAGCATGGACTGATCTCAAATCAGTAACTCAATACATTTTAGATATTCCATTTTAAAAAGTGAGAGAAAGAGAATTCTGATTGACACAGGTCGACATTGGTTAATCCAGATTAATTGACAAGAACGTAAGTAACTGTAGGATCAGAATTACTTTCCCTCTCCCTCAAACAAGGATTATTTTGAAGTTAAATGACAGCTCCCCTATTTATCTTAAAGGGTTTTCCTAGCCCTTGGAGCTACTTAGCAGACCACTCTGTGTAATACTGTATTCCCTCAAGAGTTCTGTTTTCTTGGAACACACCTTTCAAAATGTTCTGTTCAGAAAACACTGCTCATTCGAACAGAGATGACTATTATACTTGGATGAATCCCACACATTACAACATAATGATGTTAGTTTTCACAAAGGAAAATAGGAGAAAAATGTATTTTCTTAATGGAAATAACTTAAAATCCCTGGGACAGAGTAATCTATTCACAAACACCAGTCTGCCACAGCACAAAAGGACATTGTATTTATCACTGTCAAGGGCTATGAAATACTTATTTTTCACAGTAGTTTAGGGCCAAAATTCCAATAGAAGAGCAAACATTTGAACTTCCATAAAATGCTCAGGTACGTAAATTAGACTGCTCTAGCCTGGGAAGGCTAACTGAAAAGATCTGAGACCTACTAACTATGGTCGGGCTAGTTATAACCAGGAAGAGAACATCGAAAGAGCCATTGGGTCCAAGTCCCATGAAAATCAAACAAGAATACTAAAGAGAAATAATTTTTGAGAAATGCTTCTTTTTAAATAGTAGAAAGTGTTATGCACATACAAGAAAAAAAATCAGACGGTTTTTGATTACTTTAAAAATCCACTAATCTTCTTATGGGCTTAATTTTGTTTTATTACCCCATGCTACTCCAATTTGTACACGAAGCCATTCCAGACAAAACTTAAAGTACTTTGAGCTCTGTTATTAGCACCACACATTTCCAGTAACAGTCAGAATTTAAACTCATGGTGAAAACAAGCTGGCTGGTTTAATCTTGTGAAGAAAGAAATCATGCTTATAAAGGAAAACTTAAGAGACTAGGTCTGGGGGAAAAGGTGGTGGCATGAGAAGTGAGGCAAAAACCTCCTAAAACCACATATAACACAAAAATACAGCAAATACAATTAATCCTGAAAGAGCAACTCAAAGACTGCAGAACAGACTGTACATCTGGGGAAAAGAGAAGACCTCATGGAAAAGGGTAAAGTAGCAAAGCTGTGATCCAGCAGGACCCAAGCCCTTCCCCTACCCTAGCCCAAGGGTGGGAGGAAGGGACATTGGGCAGGAAGGGAGTAGAAGCCCAGGACTGCTAAACACCCACCCCTGGAGATCTGCTCCAGGAGCATGAAACCACATTACATGGTGCTCTGGAGATTAGTGGGGTTGGAAAGCAAAGACAGGCAGAATACTCAGAGAGAATGAGATTCCAGCCACTGTGGAAAACAGGTACCACACAACTGGCCTCTTCAGGACAGAAGAAAGGCAGGCACTTTGAAATATTTTTCAACAGTGAGAGGGGAGCTAAAAGGGCAAAGATTACACATAGCTCACTGCTCAGGAGAAAGGGCAGGTGGACAAAATTGTCCTGGCACAGTCAGCTCAGCAGGTTGGGAACTCTCAGGAGCTTCAGATGCTCCATTCCCATGGCTGGCAATGCAGCCCTGAGGCCTCCCACTGGGATAAAAAAGGCACATGAAAAGATGCTCCGTATCACTAATTATCAGGGAAATGCAAATTAAAACCACAATGAGGTATCTCCTCACACCAATTAGGATGGTCAACCTCCAAAAGAAACAACAAAAGGTGGTGAGGATGTGGAGAAAAGGGAACCCTCCTACACTGTTGGTGGGAATGTAAATTAGTTAAACCGCTGTGGAAAGCAATTTGGAGGTTCCTCAAAAAACTTAAAATAGAAATACCATTTGACCCAGGAATTCCACTCCTAGGAATTTACCCAAAGAAAACAAGATCCCAGATTCAAAGACATATTCACCCCTATGTTTATCACAGCACTATATACAATAGTAAAGATATGGAAGCAATGTGTCCATCAGTAGATGAATGGAGGAAGATGTGGTATACACAGTGGAATGTTATTCAGCCATAAGATGAAAACAAATCCTACCATTAGCAACAACATGGATGGACCTAGAGGGTATTATGCTCAATGAAATAAGCCAGGCAGAGAAAAACAAGTACCAAATGATTTTATTCATTTGTGGAGTATAACAAAGCAAAACTGAAGGAACAAAACAGCAGTAGACTCAGACTACAAGAAGAGACTAACGGGTACCAAAAAGGGTTGAGGAGGGTGGGTGGGGAGGAAGGAAGAAGGGGATTGAGGGGCATTATAATTAGCACTCACAATTTTGGTAGGTCATGGGCAAGGCTGTATAGCATGAAGACAAGTAATGACTCTATAGTATCTTACTACACTGATGGACAGTGACTGCAAATGGGGTGAGCCTGTACTTGATAATACCGATGAATGTTGAAATCACAATGTTGCTCATGTGAAACCTAAGATTATATATCAATGATACCTTAATTTAAAAAAAAAAGGGACTAAGGTCTGAAATGCCACCATTTGAGGGGGTTAATTTTCCCACTGCTAGATGTCCAGTTCTCTAAGAAAGATCAAAACTAGTTCTTCTTGATATAGTTTTTGTTATATTAAAAATCAATTTCTGCTGTACTCTTCCTACTCGTTCATGTACTTGGGTAGCATTTTTAATGCGTTGACAATTCTCAAACTAATCTAATTCATGTAAATGCCACACATTTTTGGACTGTATGATGAAACTATAACATAGCATTTGTTGATTGTTTTCTGTATGTCAGGCACTGATCTAAGTAGTTGAAATGTATTAACTCGGGAACTGGCACATTCATGAAGGGAGGGAGAGGCTAAAGAATATAACCTAGATCACATAGCAAGTAAGAGCTGGAGCCAAGGCGTGAACATAGGCACTGACTCCTGAGGGGAAGCTCATGTGTCCCAACACTATGCTATGCTGTCTTGGGTATGTTTGGTTTTGAAAAAGAACCAGCTGTTGAACTGAAAAGAGGCATATGACCCACCTCCCCTTAAAATTCCTGTTTTCCTCAAAATGATTCCTTTGATAAGACTTGTTTTACATGCTTGTGATTTTATAAAAGGCTTTAATATGTTGGAATATCATTTTATATGCTAATGGCTGTTGTATATACATTTTATTGACTTTTTTCTCTTTCGTGTTTCAAACTGAATGAAGAATTGTAAATGACACAATTGCATAGTGATATAAGTGTATTATGTTACATGTTTAACTTTGCACATACATTTAGTTCAAGAAAGGTATTATATTAGTAAATAAGTACATATTTATCTCAACCTTTAAAAACTTTTATGAAATCTAGGATAAATGTATTGAAATTAGATTCTCTGGGCAAAACTAGAAAAGTATATGGCTAATGAATTTGCAAAGGAGGAAGAAGCTACCAAATGAGAATTACAGAACTAGAATAATCAATGAAGCTGTCTTCAAATATGACTTACGTGATGCCCTCTTTTCCATATTTTAGTCCCTTACCATTGCTCTTTAATCTAATTTGTCCTGATAGTCTAGCAAATAATACAATTAAAAACCCCCCCTCCTCCTCAGAGAGGAGATATGCAATAAAATGTGTAATACCTTGTGTATAGTTACAAGTTTAATAAACATTATCTAAATCACTAAAAATCAACTAGTGTCTAAAATTTGCATTAAGAAACATATTAAAAATAACAGACTATGTGTTTCAATTTTAGGTCAATATACATGATTTTCAATATAGCTAACCTCAATGTAGGGCTTGCATTTGGCTCAAGCACACCAACCAGACTTCCCAGAAGGTGATTATCTGGTGGATCACTAGGATCTGTGGGTTCCCTTCCTTAGCCTTATCACATCAGATTCCTACCAAGCTTCTCCTGCATTGAGAATCATTAGGAAAGGATCCAACATCCATGTGCTCCCATCAACTCCTCCCTCTACCCCCACAATAAAAACAGCAAGTTAGTTGTGTTTCTGTGGACTTCTCACTGGAGACCATAAGTTTGAGTTGAATTATTCAATGTGAGGGTCACAATGAGAGAACGTGGATCTTTCTTATTCTTGTGGACTGTGATCTTTCCTTTCAAGGCTTCACCTATAGAAAAAAGGCAAAAAATGTGTTTAAGAATTCAAGGAATACAGTCTAGCAGAAAAGTAACAATGTATATACAATACTCCTTGTTTTGTTGTGAGATGTTTCCCTAAATTTAAATTTTTTAAATTATTTTTTAATTAACAGATTTAATTTTAAGGCAATTTTATATTTAATTTTGAGCAAAGCTGATCTAACTTACATACGACAGGTGTCACATCCTTGTGAAAAAATTAGCAAAACTATAGTGGTTATGCAGGGTTGGCTAAGCAGTTTTATTGGACTCCTGAATGTGAGGCCCTATGATATGGTGAGTTCTGGCATATAGAAAAGCAACACATGGTTTCTGCCCTCTAAGAGTTCATGGTGATAGTGAAAAGAATAGCTAAACAACAACTACACAATAGGTATGTGTTGAAAGTGTGCTGGAGGTGAGGACTGGGAGTGGCTGGAAGGCAGTGAAAGACAAGGTTTTCCAAGAATGAATGAATTATTTGAGGACTAAAGTCATGGTTAATTAAGGAGTGTACATGGAATGGCACTGAAGGAGAGCTAACATGTGCAGAGTCCCTTCAGGGAATGGCAGTCTGGGGAACTGAAAATTACAGTTGGGAAAACTGAAATTTGTATTTTAAAGGCACATGAGGAAGGCCGTTGGCCTTCAAGGTACTAACACTGTGAATGGAAGACAACTTACACAGGTGAAACAGTGAACACAAAAAATAATACATATTTGTTTAAAGGCAAAGACTAATTTCCTAAAAACTTTTCTCGTATGCTCCAAATTTCATTTTACTCCAAAATGGAATTATGTCTATGTGTTTCTCTGATTACAAAAACTTGCCATTTAAAATTTTCATTTATTTACCAAGTTATTTAAAAGTAACAAAAGAGATTGCTAAGTCATAATTGATCACTATTCCTTGCTTTACTAAGAGTGAGATCATACCAAACAGCATCAGCTATAGCTTCACAATCCGGACGGACACTGAAGACTCCATATAAAATGACTGAGGAATGTACATAAAGTTACCTAAGTACTGAATCAATATCTTCTTTAAAAAACCTGCCAGTCCCTACATTAAGGGATGATGAATATGAATGTCAACATGGTTGTGGAATAACAAAACCATCTACTAGTTATATTTATTCAGAGTATAAAGATTCTATTACTGATACATTCTATACAACCTGCAATAAAGGTAAGGCCTGTATGTAAACAGTTTAATACAAAATTAAGGAATTAAAGAGTAATGGAAGAAATAATGTGGTCCAAGGTACATTCCATTTGGCCTAATTCAACAATGATTTTATGTGCAAGTGTATATGTTAATGTGTATATCTAGCCTTGGTTTTTATATCTGAGCTATCCCTCTATATTATTAAGAAAACAGAACAAATCTACTTCATGTGCCATGCTCACCTCAGCCTGACAAAAGTTTCCAGTGAGGGAGTGCTATAAAATGTATAGGAAGTTCAGGTTAATCATTAGACAGTAATAATTGCCAATATTTATTTCACACTTATTTCATGCTGACCCTATCATAAGGTTTCTGTATGACTTATTTCACTTAATGAATAACAAATACCTCTATGAGGTTTAGTACATTTTCCTCACTTTACACATAAGAAACAGAGTTCAGAGGGCTCGCTCAAGATGGCGGCGTGAGTAGGGCGGTGGAAATCACCTCCCAAAACCATGTATATCTTGAAAATACAGCGAATAAAACTATTCCTAAAAGAGAAACCAGACAATACAACAGCCAGGCTATACCTACATCTGTGAGAGCTCAGCATTTCATGAAAAGGGTAAGATACAAAGCCATGGCCTGGCAGGACCCAAGCACTCCCCTCACCCCAGCTCACTGGTAGGAGGAAAAGAATCAGAGTGGGGAGCAAGTGGAAGCACAGAACTGCTAAATAACCAGCCCTAGTAATCTGCACCAGGAGCACAGACACACATCACACAGTGTACTGGATACTAGAGAAAAAGAGAAGAAAAATCCAAGACTGAGAATGTGAACAGGTCCCCGGAACCAGCTGCCCTGGGACAAAGGAAAAGTGGGTGCTTTAAAAGTGTTAAAGGGACAAGGGTTTAACAGGTGGACAAATCATCCTGGCACACTCAGCCCAACAGGCTGGGAATTTTAAGGGACTTCAGGTGCCCTAACCCCATGGCTGGCAATGCAGCTCTGAGACCCCTCACACTGATAGGTAGCCTGCCATTCATTCCCCCCCACAGGCACTGCAAGCACACCGGCTGACCCGCCATTGCTGCGGACCAGCCAGGGAGGAGACTCACTCACAGCAACCACAAAGAGTCTTCTCCCAGCACACAGTTAACCAGGTCAGACCCAGAGGATGCCCCCTGCATGCAGCTGCCTGGCATAGGCAGAGGAAGCCGGGGCAAAGTCTGGAAATCACAAAGGGGTGCCTTTCTCACAAGAGAACACACGCCACTTGCCTGTGACCCCTGTCAGTGCCTCAGGCTATCCCCAGGGCCGCCCCACCCACGGCAGCTCAGGGGATTAACTCAGAGACTGCTCCCTGTGTGCAGTTAACCGGCACAGGCAGCAGAGAAGTGCAAGGCGACTAGAAAGCAGGAAGGGACTTTGTTCTCCCAGCTGACACATGCACCACTTGCCGGCGATCACCTCTATTACCACAAAAAGGCAGAAGAACCTGGTCCAGTCCAAAATCACTCAAACACCAGAGAAAGAGCCTGGTGAGACTGATATAAGGAATTTTCCTGAAATAGAATTCAAAATAAAAGTCATAACAAAGCTGATGGAGCTGCAGAGAAATATGCAAGAGCTAAAGGGATGAATTCATGAGGGAGATAACAGAAAAGAAACAAACAATGGAAGGATTTAAGAGCAGACTGGATGAGATGGAAGAGACTGTTAATGGAATAGAAATCAGGGAACAGGAATACAGAGAAGCTGAGGCAGAGAGAGATGAAAGGATCTCAAGGAATGAAAGAATATTAAGAGAACTGTGTGACCAATCCAAACGGAACAATATTCACATTATAGGGGTACCAGAAGAAGAAGAGAGGGAAAAAGGGATAGAAAGTGTCTTTGAAGAAATAATTGCTGAAAACTACCCCAAGCTAGGGGAGAAAATAGTCTCTCAGACCATGGAAGCCCAAAGATCTTCCAAAACAAGGGACCTAAGGAGGACAACATCAAGAAATATAATTAAAATGGCAAAGATCAGAGACAAGGACAGGGTATTAAAAGCAGCAAGAGAAAGAAAAAAGATCACCTACAAAGGAAAACCCATCAGGCTATCATCAGACTTCTCAACAGAAACCTTACAGGCCAGAAGATAATGGCATGATAAATTTAATGCAAAGAAACAGAACGGTCTTGAATCAAGAACACTGTATCCAGCAAGATTATCATTTAAATTTGAAGGAGGGATTAAACAATTCCCAGATAAGCAAAAATTGAGGGAATTTGCCTCCCACAAACCACCTTTACAGGATATTTTAAAGAGAATACTCCAGATGGAAGCACTCCTAAGGCTAAGTAGATGTCACCAGAGAAAATAAAATCACATCAAGGAAAGCAGACAACCAAATACTAACTGAAGGCAAAAAGTAAAATCAGCTACTCACAAAAGCAGTCAAGGGAAACACAAAAGACTACAGAATGAAATACCTAACATATAAACAGTGGAGGAGGAAGAAAAAGAAGGTAGAGAGATAATAATCAGACTGTGTTTATAATGGCATAATAAGTGAGTTAAAGTTGGACAGTTAGATAGTAAAAAAGCTACCCTTGAACCTTTGGTAAGAAAGAATCCAAAAACTGCCATGACAATAAATACATATCTATAGATAATCACCCTAAATGTAAATGGACTGAATGCACCAATCAAAAGATACAGAGTAGCAGAATGGATAAAAAAGCAAGACCCATCTATATGCTACTTACTAGAGACTCACCTCAAACCCAAAGACATGCACAGACTAAAAGTGAAGGGATGGAAAAAGATATTTCATGCAAACAATAGGGAGAAAAAAGCAGGTGTTGCAGTACTTGTATGAGACAAAATAGATCTCAAATCAAAGAAAGTAACTAGATAAAGAAGGACATTACATAATGATAAAGAGGGCAGTCCAACAACAGGACATAACCATTAAAAATATCTAGCACCCAACAAAGGAGCAGCAACATATGTGAAACAAACAGTAAAAGAACTAAAGGAGAAAACAGAATGCAATACATTCATTTTAGGAGACTTCAACACACCACTCACTCCAAAGGACAGAACAACCAGAGAGAAAATAACTAAGGAACAGATGGACCTAACAGACAACTACAGAACTCTACACCCAAAAGCAGCAGGATACACATTCTTCTCAAGTGCACATGGGACACTTTCCAGAATAGACCACATACTAGGCCACAAAAAGAGCCTCAGTAAATTCAAAAAGACTGAAATTCTACCAGCCAACTTCTCAGATCACAAAGGTATAAAACTAGAAATAAATTGTACAAAGAAAGCAAAAAGGCTCACAAATACATGGAGGCTTAACAACATACTCCTAAATAATGAAAGGATCAATGACCGGATTAAAACAGAGATCAAGCAACATATGGAGACAAATGACAACAACAGGTCAATGCCCAAATATTGTGGGATGCAGCACAGGCAGTTTTAAGAGGAAAGTACATAGCAATCCAGGCCTATTTAAAGAAAGAAGAACAATCCCAAATGAATACTCTAAAGTCACAATTATTAAAACTGAAAAAAGAACAAATGAGGCCCTAAGTCAGCAGAAGGAGGAACATAATAAAGATCAGAGAAGAAATAAATTAGAGAAGAATAAAACAATAGAAAAATATCAATGAAAACAAGAGCTGGTTCTTTGAGAAAATAAACAAAATAGATAAACCCCTGGCCAGACTTATTAAGAGAAATACAGAATCTACACACATAAACAGAATCAGAAATGAGAAAGAAAAAATCACGACAGACTCCACAGAAATACA